GTATACCCTAGCTTGTCGTGCATTCTTTCCAAAAATTGGGACTTTTTAAAAACGCCGTGGGATGCAGGAAAAATTGTTAAAAATCAGGACTGTCCCGCCAAAAGCGGGACGTCTGGTCACCTTATTCAAAATGCTTCGTAGAAGGGGGTAGGATAGGGAGACTTTGTCTCTAATATTTGGGCATGTTACCAAAAGGACATCATGCTTGACAAAGCAGAGAGTCAGGGGGAAAGAGGAAGACCCTGGAGGGATGGATTAGGAGAGTGACTGCATAGTGGGTCCCAGCATCACAGTGGTGATGAGACTCGCACCCATGGGCCAGGCAGTGTTTTGGTCTGTTGTTCATCATTGCTATGAATTGGCACTGACTCTAAATTACTTAACAGCAACCTCGATCATGTGATTCATAGCATGGTTTTGCAGATTGCTCGCTTTCGTCTTATTTCTCACACCACATGGGTAAATATCCTATATCGCTATATAAATATCCTATATAAAATCCATCTACTCTTTCTTCTTCTCCTTTGTCAGATTTATAACTGCTGGACACCTAAACTCACTGCCAAGGAGTTGATTCTGACTCATAGTGACCCTGGGACAGATGGAACTGCCCCTACTCCTAAGACAGTAAATTTTCAGGGGCGTCAAAAACCTCATCTGTCTCCCATAGAGCAGCTGGTGGTTCCAAACAGCTGACTTGGTGGTGAGCAAACCATGGTTCACTTCTCTCTGATTCCACACACCTGAAAGAAATGTGAGCAGGGCTCTTTCACTTTACATGTTTCAATTGTGATCACTAGGTGCCAACAAGCCAGTTCTGACCCAGAGCAACCTCAGGTATCACAAAGCGAAATGCGTGCGGTCTTTGCAGCCCATGCTGTGTTAGAGCCCATCCTTGCCGTCACCAGGGTGAACGGATCCATGCCTCCATGCGCCATTTTGCTCCATGTGTGTTGACTCAGCTCTGAGGAGGTAGCTCTTCCCGGAACATCTTTTGAGTCCCTTCCAACCTGAGGGCTGCATCTTCCAGCGCTGTCTCAGACAGCATTCTATGATCTAGAGGGTTTTCATTGGCTAATGTTTGGAAGTGGGTGTCCGGGCCTTGCTTCTTAGTCTGGACATCTGCTGACCTTGTATTTGAGATACAGATGGCAGAACCCCTAGTATCAGAACAACTACCCAAGGAGAACATGTGGACAGATAGGGATGAGGACATCTAAATACCAAGGAATCTAATTTAAATGATGGATTAGTTTCTTCTGGCCTCATTCGCCTCAGGTCCCTGTGCTTGATGCTATTTGACATGATTTTATGTTCATGTTGAATATTTCATGAACTGCACTATGCCTTGAGTGGAAGAATTTACTTCCGTCCCAATAATTAGAGCCATGTATGCGATTTTAACAGGTTTATAAAGAGTCAGCAATTCCATTTTATGAAGCAAGAAGTAATAGTGCCCCGAGAATGCCATTTGAATGGCAAGAGAGACGCTGAGCAAGAACCCTGCTTAGAAATGAAGGGAGAGGAAGAGAAAATGGAGCACATCCTGGCCCACCAAGCCCTGAGGACTATATTCCCACTCAGAGCAACCAAAGCACAGAAAGGACATAAAGCCGTCCCCACTATGAACCCGACATCCCTCACTGACCCATAGCGCTAAGGGGGACAACACTGGAGACGCAGTGCGGGAATTATGCCCGGTCTGACCCCACCACACTGAGGCAAAACACTAAGGGCGTGCAACAGAATAGCAAGGGGAACAGAGCAACGAAGTCCCCAGGGAATACAAAAAATAGACTTTGGGGCCAGGGCCTGGCACCCCATCAGACTCGACTGAAAAACACTCCTAAAGGTCAACAAACAGACCTTGACCTATTTACAGGATTTTCTTTTTATGTTGTTGTTGGGTTTTTGTTGTTGTTGTTTTCTTTTCTTTTGTTGCTTTGTTTGGCTCTGTCTTGTTTTTTGTGCATATTATTATCTCTGTAGGTCTATCTAGATAAGATCGGCAGGATAAACAATCTGGAGGAGAAAACAAAGGGAACACGGTTCTTGGGGGCATGAGAGAGGGGGAGATGGGGGAAAGGAACTAGGTGTTGACAAACCCAGGGACAAGGGAACAACAAGTGATCCAAAATCAATGCAAGGAGGGTGTAGGAGGCCTGGCAGGGCTTGATCAAGGGCAATGCAACTGAGAGGAATTACTGAAACCCAAATGAAGGCTGAGCATGATAGTGGGACAATAGGAAAATAAAAAGAAATAGAGGAAAGAACTAGGAGTCAAAGGGCATTTATGGAGATCTAAATACAAGCATGTACATATGTAAATGTATTCATATATGACGATGGTGAAATAGATCTATATGCATATATTTATAGGCTTAGTATTAAGGTAGCAGATAGACATTGGACCTCTACTCAAGTCCTCCCTCAATGCAAGAACACTTTGTTCTATTAAATCGGCATTCCATGATGCTCACCTTCCTGACATGATCACTGAAGACAAAGCGGGTGCATAAGCAAAAGTGGTGAAGAAAGCCCAGCTATCAAAAGATATAGCATCTGGGTCTTAAAGGCTTGAAGATAAACAAGTGGCCATCTAGTTGAGAAGCAACAAAGCCCACATGGAAGAAGCACACCAACCTGTGTGTCGATAGAATCAGGTATCATGCATCAAAGAACATAAAATCATATTATTGTGAATGAGGGAGAGTGCGGGATAGAGACCCAAAGCCCATCTGTGTTAACTGGACATCCCCCTACAGAAGGGTGGCAGGGAGGAGACAAGCTAGTCAGGGTGCAGTATAGCACTGATAAAACATACAATTTTCCTCTAGATCTTAAATGCTTCCTCCCCCCACCCCACTATACTGATCCCAATTCTACCTTATAAATCCAGCTAGACCACAGGATGTACGCTGATACAGATCAGAGCTGGAAATACAGGGAATCCAGGACAGATAAACCCCTCAGAACCAATAATAAGAGTAGAGATACCAGGAGGGGAAGGGGATGGTGGGGGAGAAAGGAGGGAACCGATCACAAGGATCTGTATATAACCCCCTCCCTGGGGGATGGACAACAGAAAAGTGGGTGAAGGGAGACATCGGACAGTGTAAGACATGACAAAATAATAATTTATAAATTATCAAGGGTTCATGAGGGAGGATGGGGGAGGGAGGGGAAAAAATGAGGAGCTGATACCAAGGGCTCAAGTTGAAAGCAAATGTTTTGAGAATGATGATGGCAACAAATGTACAAATGTACTTGACACAATGGATATAGGTATGGATTGTGATAAGAGTTGTATGAGCCCCAATAAAATTATTATTTTTAAAAAGAACCCTGCACAGAGAGCTCTCCAAGTGATCACGTTATAACCAGGAGCCCTGGAGGACACCTGCAAACTCTGTATTGAAAACCGGAAGTTACAATAAGTGTCTTTCCATGACCTTCTACAGCCTTCCATAATGAACGCTGATTTGAAGGCATGGTGAATAAAATAAGCCCACCAAGAAGCTTTCCCCAAAGATAGATAGGATGTGCTTGTTCGTGTTGCATCCTGCTTGCTTTCGCTGACATTGATCACTCACTAGGCAACAGGCATAGTCGGAGTGCTCCATTTCTGAAACACACATCTAAGCATTTCCAGCCAAGCATCTTCCACTGGTCTCTGTCAATATGGTGTGAAATTCAAATTAAGAAAAAAAAAAATCCCAATTTCTCTAAGTCGTTCACTTCCTTGGTCTCATTAAATAATGATAGGACGACTCGTCATGCATGAAGCGTCTTTCTTGTGCCAGTGTTTAGCCAGTCAGAGTTCATGAAATCCTCATGACAACTTGAGAGTTGAGACTGAACACTGCACCTGTTCTACTCACACGGAACGGTAGGCTCAGAGAGCGCATGCGCAACCACGCACCTCTCTCAGGTGGAGATCCAGGGCCCTCGCTCTGCCGTGCTCTCTCAAGCTAAAGCAATTCAGAGAGCAATAATGTGCCTTTCTCTTTCCTTCCGATGTTTAATTAGAAAACAATTTATGTATCATTTGTTGTTTGACGCCATCGAATCAGTTCTGACCCATAGTGACCTTATGCAGAAGAGATCAAAACACGGTAAGCTCCTGCCCCATCCCCACAATTGCTCCTTTGCCCAAGCCCCTTGTGGCAGCCACCGTGTCAATCCATCTCCTTGAGCGCTTTCTTCTTGGTGGCTGCTCCCTCCACTTTACTAAGAAGGACTTTACACGTCCTTCTCCAGGGACTGGTCTCTATCATTTAGTATATATTAATCCAGACACATACCCTAGTACAGTGGTTCTCAACCTGCCTAATGCTGCGACCCTTTCATACAGCTCCTCATGTGGTGGTGACCCCCCAACCATCAAATGATTTTCGTTGCTACTTCAGAACTCTAATTTTGCTACTGTTATGAATCAGGCGACCCCTGTGAAAGGGTCATTCGACCCCCAAAAGGGTTGCGACCCACGGGCTGATAACCGCTGACCTAGAAGATGCTTTGCCACATGTGCTTTTAGAAAACACACCAACTAACCTCCTCCCTCCAAAAAAAAACCTTGTAATTTCATTCTAGCTTTTTGCTCCAAATTCTTAAATCGCTGTCTCAGTACAGAACTGAGAGGGACAACGAGGCATTCAGGTGACCCCTCTGCTGATTCCACCCCCAGTTTTCCAAAGCTTGACTTAAGGTCCAGGGAAATGGAGTTTACTACTGTAATGATGAGTCTGCAGACCAGTCAACATCTTTTAGAAAATTCAATTTTGTGTGACTTTCCCCAACTGATAGCCTCTAGAAGATATCGCCTCCTCAAATCGCTAGCCATCCTACGATCCCATGGGTGAGATGAGAGGGCCCCTTTGCAATGACCTGGAGATTTGCTTTGTTCCCTTGGATCTGACAGGTCACCCAGCTGCCCCAGGTCTTCTGTTGTGGGCTGCCTTTGTAACCTGAGTCTCCCCCCTTCCCCCTTTCTCCTCCAGGACTGCCCACCAGAAGCCGGTGACTTCCGAGCTCAGCAATGCTCCGCTCACAATGATGTCAAGCACCATGGCCAGTATTACGAATGGCTTCCTGTGTCCAATGACCCGGACAACCCGTGTTCACTCAAGTGCCAGGCCAAAGGCACGACCTTGGTGGTTGAACTCGCACCTAAAGTCTTAGACGGCACCCGGTGTTACACAGAGTCCCTGGATATGTGTATCAGTGGCTTGTGCCAAGTAAGTGCGGACTTATTTTCACTGTCTCGGACTGCCTTTGTGTCAATAGCACTTGTAAGGTCTCTGCTACGTAGTGTTCCTCCTCTTAGAGCTTTGAAGTAGCTGGTAATGAATGTGGAAGTGGACGTTTAATTCCGTGGGTTTAAAAAAACGCAGTGTTAGTTTAGTGTTCAGAAAACGTTGACTAGAGTATGTTGGGTTTTGTTGTTGTTTTTCATTCCTTGAATGTGACTCAAATGTGGGAAAATACAATTTTTGAACATTGTGTGTTACTTTCATACTAGATCCAAAATGACCAGGCTTGATGTCGCTGGCTTGGGGGAAGGAGGCACTGGCTGGTCGGGGTGGCACGGACAGTGAGCGGTTGCTGTCTCCCTTGTGTGGGGTAGCCTTTGCCATGGAGCTGAGCGCGTGTGCAAGTGCTCGGCAGGGCCAAGCAGGGTGTCCATAAGGTTTCCAAGGCTGTGTGCTGTACAGAAGCTGACTGCCACTGTCTTTCCCCACCAGGCAGTGGTAGGTTCAAATGGTCACTCTTTGAGTTAGGAACCAAGCTTAGGCACCACCGAAGCTCCGTTTGGTGCTATGCTCAACCAGGTGCTATTCTGTTTCACAAAGGAGGCGTTCTGAGAGCCCTTGCCTCTACCAAAGAGATCCTGGTTGAAATGTTTATCTTTTCAGAATGTCTCATATCACAGCTGGTAGTATAAGAGGAAGCGTAGCCTCTGTGTTAGTCATGTGTTGCAAAGTCCCTGTGTTTGTTTAAGGCTACATCCATAGTCAATGTGAAAGGTAGAACTGCAGGGTAAATCACTACAAGTCATGTGAGATACCAGGCAGGGCTTTATGGGCATGAAAGAAAGACAGACAGAGGGAACCTTCAGAGCTTTTAATCCTTTGACAGGAACATTGTGATGTTTCCAAGCACTTCTTGAAAGAGAGAGAGAGAGAGGTTGAGGGAGAGTCAATATGTATATACAGTGAACCCTCGTTTATCGCGGTTCATCGGTTCTAGACCCTACCGTGATAAATGAAATTCCGCGAAGTAGGATTCCTTATTTGTAAATCAAATATTTTTGTAGTTAGAGCATAGAGGACATGAAAAAACACCCTTTAGTCACCATTACACTCGTATTACCCAATTTATTAAACGAAAAAGGGAAAATACAGTAAAACATTTTGGACGTTACAATTATCATTTATTATTTATTATATTATTTATGGCATCTAGTCTACAGTATTACATATTTCACATACAGTATTATTATACATAGTTCTTACAAATACTGTAATCAATAGCCTATGAAATGACTTAAGGGATATACTCTACAGGTGGGTCGCCGTCTTTTTCTCTGAAGGAGTGGGTGTAGGCAGTGGGTTTCTGGGTACACGTTTAAGAAACATTGTGATTGGCAGTTGCCGACGTTGTCTCTTCATTTCAGCGAAAAGGTTTTTGTAGGGTTCCATTGCCCCATCGAGTGCATTCTGGAACCGTAATGCACGATTCATTTCTGGATCCCATTCTTCAATCGTGTCCTGAACTTCTTTGATTGTTCTTACGTTATGCGAGAGACGCTCCATTGTGAGGCCAACTAACTCCTCAAAATGCATCTGATACGTAGCTCTGATATGTAGCGATGCAGACAGAAGCGTGTACAGTATGAGCCAATCAGTGGCAATAATGACAGAGCATGCGCTGTTACGCAAAAACCGCGATAGAGTGAAGCCGCGGAAGTCGAAGCGCGAAGTGGCGAGGGTTCACTGTAGACCAAAGACCTACTGCCATGGAGTCAATTCCAGTTCCATAGCAGGATTCTGAGACCATAAATCTTGAAAGGAGCAGACATGCTGACTAGCACCCCAGAGTCAATGGTGGATTTGAACTGCCAACCTTTGAGTTAGCATCCCACTGCCTAACCCATGGGGCCACCAGGGTTCCTATTAGATTGGGGGGGGGTGTATGCACTCCCATGTGTATTTATGTGTACACACACACACATACACTACATACACACACATACTGTACTATCTCCCACCGCACACAGACCCATCGATAGAACCTCCCTTCTGGGTCCTGTAATTCCTTGCAAGGACCATGTGGAACTCAAAGACAATGCTCACAATGATGGGCTTGATTGGGTTACAATGTGGGTGAGAAATGCTCAAGATACAGTTGTCCAGCCGGACATTTGCAAAGGCCTCTTTTTAGGACTGCTAATAAAGGCCCAACGGTCATGCAACTCCAAGATAGACCTCAACCGGAAGATTCCCAACTCCCACTCCTAGCAAACCCAGCACCCCAAATTAAGTGCCCAGATGATGTTGGCTTCCTTCACCAGGCCTCTCAGTGGGGTGAAGATGGAATTCTAGGGTTTTCAAAGGTTGGGGATAATAAGTAGGAGTCCAGGTGGCGTAGTGGTTACTTGTTGGGCTGTGATCTGCAAGGTCAGCAATTTGAAACCGCCAGTCACTCTGCGGGAGAAAGATGGGGCTTTCTTTTTTTTTCCCAATCATTTTATTAGGGGCTCATACAACTCTTATCACAATCCATGTCACAGAAAGATGGGCTTTCTACTCCTGTTAAGAGTTAGTCTCAGAAACGCCCATGGGCAGTTCAACCCTGCCGTATAAAGCCACTCCAAATCGACATGGACAGTGGACAAGTGGTGACCATGAGGGGCTGCAACGCCGACTGAAGTGGCAAAAGGGCAGTGACAGAGGCACAAGGAAAGGTCAATACCGGAGCAGGCCGTGTGGGAGTAAAGTCTGGCCGATCACACTTCGTAAACGAAAAAGCTGAGGGCCAGAAAACTTGCCTGACTGTGAACGTGAGATGGTTGGCCCGGGCAGAACCGGGACTCGAGTCCAGGTTGTTTTCTACTACACTCCCCTGCTGAATGAACCAAAATAAACAAGACAGGTCAGCAAATTAGGTTTCATGTGTTGCCGTTGCACGAGTTCAACGTGGCATGCTTCCCCCTGCCTGATCCTGCCAGCTGGCTGCGTGGGTCTTGGCAGCCACCCGGGAGCCCTATCGCCGAAGCCTCAGAAGACATCCCCGTGTGGTAAACAGGGAGTGAGAGTGAGGGGCTTTTGGCCACAAGTGGAAGCATGCCTTCTTAATTGGATTCTTATGAGTGTGGCTTGTTCGATTCGGGGCAAGTGTAAATTATAAAACATTTGGAAAGAATGTAAGTCAGACAACGAAATCCCAAGGTGCAGAAATTCTGCGGGGAGGCCTCCTAAAAGCTGGAAAAAGGGGGAATGAAAAGATAGAGGAATTTTTTTCCCCACACACATACTTTTGGAAGTCCCCAGCATTTTCTTTATCTTCCTTATTGATTTGCCTTATCGGAGGCGGTAGCCTGGTAAAGGAGATGGAAGAACACTAAATGGTTACGCACTAAAGAGTCGTCTGGTTTAGCTAAAGAGCAGAGCATTGCCCCTGCACCCTCCCCTAAGAAGCCCGGGGAGAGGGGTTGTTTGGGGAAGGATCTTGGCAACTCGCCTGCAGACCTAAAGAACTACAGTAAACAGTGAGTGGCCAAGAAAGGGGTTTAGTGGAGAAAAATCCTTCTTGCAGCTCTGCTCAAAGGATCCTTAGAGCTGCAGGTAGAGGAAGCTCTAGGAAGAGCCAGGAGACTAGTTTCTAAGGAAAGGCTTCCAGTGATGAAAGGGAGGCCAGAGGAGCCCTGGTGGCAGAGAGAGTTATACATTAAACTGCCCTCCAGGTCTGCAGTTCAAAACCACCAGCCGCTCTGCAAGAGGAAAATGAGGCTTTCTGTTAGGGACTCAGAAACCCCCGTGGAGCAATTTTACTCAGTCCTGTTTGAACCCTGGTGGTGTAGTGGTTACGCTTTGGGCTGTGGCTCACCATGTTCGACAGTTCAAAGCCACCAGCATCTCCACAGGAGAAAGACTGGGATTTCCACTCCCATAAAGTCACATTCTCAGAAATCCACAGTGGTCGCTGTGAGTCAGCATTGACTCGATGACTGTGAGTTTGGTGTGGAGTTATAGGGTCACGATGAGTCAGCATCAACTAGGTAGCAGGGACAGTGTTTCAGGTAATGCCATGCATGAGAGTAAGACGGTATCTCACCGTCGTGCACAAAAGAAACTTGAATCTACACCCAGAATGGATTTTTGTTTTATTGTAAAGATGACAAAGTGGTGATGCTAACTGCAGTTGAGTTGGCTGCCAACTCACGATGACTGTAGGCTAGCCCTTTGTGAAACCCAGGGCTTCCATTGACTGATATTTAGTAGTTTGTCAGGCCTGTTTTCTGAGTCCTTCTTTGTCTGGAAACTCTTTTGAAACCTGTTCATCATTATAGAAATATGCAGGGGAGAGGGGAGCTGAGCATGAGGGGCATTAGCTGGGAGTTGTTGAATTCAGTGTCTAAATAAAAAGAAAACCAAATCTCCTACCATGGAGTCAATTCTGACTCCTGGTGACCTTAGAGGTCAGAGAAGAACTACCCCATAGGGTTTCTGAGCCTGACGTGCTTCACAGGAGCAGCTCGCCACGTGGTTCTCCCTTGGAGACGCTGATGGGCTTGAACTACTGATCTTGCAGTTAGCAGAGGGCTCACCCATGTGGAAGATGAGGATTCTATCAATAGATGCAAGGGAGCAAAAACGGAAAGTTAATATGATTGAACAGGCAGTATAACTTTGCATCCTTCTACCACTGCCATGATAGCCTGTAATTTTCATTATTAAAACCTACTTGAGATTTTATCACGGATGCAAGGGCAGAAGGTAGCAAGATGATTGGCCAGATGTATATTTTCAGAAGATGATCCTACCCACTAGTGCCTCAAATGAATTTGAATGTATAAATTCAAGTCTATTTAGAAAAAAAAGCTATTATTTAGATTGTATCTGTGTTAGTGTTTTGTATTTTTCATTTTTGATGAGAAACATGAAGAAAAGGCCATCATTTCCTGTTTCTTGGAACTCTGCTAGGAATCTTAACACCAATGTAAAGGCTTCTTCCA